ATTGGAATAATTAGACCTTTCCTGTTTTTGCTCTTATTTGTAAGCATGTCTCATAAGCCGCTACGATTATAACATGTTTCAGGCTTTATCTGAATTGTAACAATTTAAACCTTCTTTCTTCATGTCTGTAAAGTAGCTATTTAGCTAAGCACATTTGACCGCGTTAAATAAAGGTTATAATTGCCTCCAAAACAAAAAAATTCCGATTTATTCCCGAAATATTTGGCAGTCTTCTTAAATGCATAGAAAATGACCTTTAAGTGCGACGTACTAGGGAAATTATAAAGGTGAATCTCCAATCTTTTCATATCTATGAGCGAGGAGAAACGCCTGCCGTTCGCAGGCTATAAGCTATGATGGTTGTCAGAAAAAGGGAACTTTTGATCTTGAACAGCGAATGGTCAAGGAACGTTTAGAACTACTGCTAAGAAAATGTCATAGTTTTTCTACGTTGATGCAAGCTATACGATCAATTTCACTCGATTAACGGAACTAAAATTTCTCATATGAAAATATGAAAAGGCCGTAAGTCAGTCACTTCCAGCTCGGCTAATCCCTTTATTTAAACATTGCGAGCATTTATGCGTAGGCATATATAGTGAGGAGCGAGAGAAACATCTCGCTCCTTAAACACAACGCCGCCGCTTTCTCCAAAATTCTATTATAATCATTTTAGGATAGCAGTTTTTAGATTGTTTTTAAAGCTTTGCAAATTGTTTCTAAGTAGCACTATAAAATTGTTAACTGTTTTGTAATTCTAGATCTCCTTTAGCCTATGCGAATTTATTACCTCCTTCTTATTACTCTTCCAAAAATCTTTGATGCTATTTAATCTTTTACTGAAAACTCGACATTTTGCGATACCTCTTTCCGTTAGTATTACGAAGCCAAACATTTTAGTAGTAAGTCCTTTTTTACGAATGATTATCAAACCTGGGAAGTCACGGAAAGGTGAAAAACCGACTTCAGAAAAACGTAGAAAAATTAATGGACTAAAAGTGTCGAAAACTGAGATGAATCGAACATTTTTCATCGAGGAATTTTTTTCTTGAGCTTTAGAAATTTCCAGACAATTATACTGTGCTTCTTCGAATGGCTTTTTTACAGAAAACATTCAACCGTTGATTATCCCTAGCTAGCTACCCCATCAC